CTGAAGAAGACAAAAAAGTGAAAGATTATTTTATAGATATAAAAAAGCAGAGACAAGCGAAGCTTAAGGAGAAGCCGTACTTTTACATACCACGAGATCTGCTGAGGCAGAAGGTCGAAGATCACAAGAAAAAGATGCTTGAACTTCATAAGCCTTCGCCACTATCAGCCTATGACCGCTCCCTTGTGAAGTCACATGATGCAGATAAGAAAAGGAAAAGAGCATCAGGGAAGGATGTCCCACAGCTCGGACAACAGAAGCAACCAATGCAAAATCTTGTTGTTACTAATGAATATGGTTCCAACATAGAAGTCTATCGACCAGACAACTCTGGAGAAGTGTCGGTTCAAGACCTTAATGCTTTTTTTGAAGATACTAGTTTAACCTTGGATCAATTGATGGGCAAAGCTCCAATCCATAACCTGAAAGTTGATACCTGGAAGACTTATAAATTTGGCAAAAGTCTGTACAACCCTGCGGCTCTGAATGAATTGGGTACGTAAATGTACTTGCTCAACAAGTGGTACATGCAGGCATGTGGCAGGGGTGAGGAGTGGATCTTTGTCAGATTTAGAGACCATCATTACTTCCGTGGCGATGACATCTTACATATTAGTTTCGAAGAATTGCATCAACTATATCACATGGACGCTCTGGACAAATCAATCATTAGCTCATTTTGTTTGGAAGTGATTCTTACTTTTATTTAATAAACTCACTTCCATGCGTACGTGTATATAATTATCCTCACATGTAACTTATATTTATATACAGATTCCAGATGTCAGAGCTTCAAAGAATACAAGACACCAGTGTTGGCTTCATTGATCCTTATATCGTATTCAAAACCGATATTATTGCCAAGGAACATTGGGTATCTGAAGCACAGAAGAATATCATGAGGTTCTTCGTGAAGCAGCACGACAAGACAACAATACTTTTCCCGTACAGCTTTGAGTAAGTGTTAATAATAATGTAGTCTACACATTTTATGTAATATCAATACAACTTATATGCATGTACGTGTGTGTATAAACCAATGTAGGTTTCACCGGATACTCATTGTCATTGAGTTAAACTCAAGTCGGTTAGTAATCTTGGACTCGTTGAGAAAAGAGCGGGCACTATACCAAGATATGATAGACATTATCCAGAGGTAATTTCGATCTCTCGCGCACAACTATTATTAATAGACTTTGCCATAATTTATTAATGATCGTACATTATTGGTCGCACAGGTTTGGAAAGAGTTTATTCGGCAACACCGCAAGGATTGCAAGGCACCACTTAATGTAGTTGAAATACCAGTAAGTTGTACTATATATACTTCCCCACGTATTTAATTACTATATCGTACTTCAATTTACGTGTGAGATGATGAGAATAATCTTCTTCTCGTACAATGGTGTTTGCGGCAGCAACTAGGTAATAATTTGTGTGGATACTACGTTTGTGAATTTATCACTGCGCACGTAAGAAGAACTTCTAAAGATGTCCTCAGAGTACGTATATATCAATTTTTTATTTATTTTTAAATGAATATATATATATATATATGTATGTATTAATACTTTTCCTTTTATTTCAAATGTAAGACTGAATGGTTGAAACAAAGGGTCATGCAAAAAGACCATCTAAAAGCAGTTCAAGAGTCAATAGCAGAATTTCTTCTAGAAAAAGTGCTAAATCCCAACGATGAGTTCTACTTTGATCCTAAGGAATAAATGATGTAAATTAAATGTTTATTGATATCGTTATTTTCGAGAATAAGATTATGAAAGTGTTGTATATATACATATATATCTATAATATATATAGTTTCATACTTTATTCAAATATAATAATGCTCGAGATGAGAATTAGATGTAATTATATGCGTGCGTGTATTTATATTAGCAGCGTAGAATACGTATATAAAAACATATTATATATTAAACAAATATGTGTAGCTGAACTGAAAACAAATTAAACAAAAAAAAAAGAAAAAGAAAAGGAACCTTTAGTCCCGGTTGGGGTTACCAACCGGGACTAAAGGGTGCGGCCACGTTTGCTCGGCTAGAGGGCATTTAGTCCCGGCTCGATGACCCGGGACTGAAGGTTCCACCTTTAGTCCCGGGATCGTTGTCCCGGCGCGGTAACCGGGACTAAAGCCCGTTACCGCCCGGGACAACAAGGCCATCCTGTAGTAGTGGACTTGGACCGGCCTCCCCCAGGTGGACCTTCTGAAGTCTTCTTGGCGGTGAAGGAGGTCGGCTTCAGGGGCTGACGCGTGGGCCCGGGAGCCTCCTAGCCCCTAGAGGCCGCGGGGACGTTTTGTCTTCTTGTGTCATGCCCTGTGCGTGACCTTGTAGGGAAAGTGGCCAGCAATGCCGTGCCTAAGGGGCAACGCCGGGGAGCCCCCGAGTCTCGGTAGCTCGGGGCGCGTCTTCTTACGCTTGGAACTTGGCTGGCATCGTTAGCCGGGTAGGAACCAAGTGCCACGCCGGAGTGTTGGCGTAGATCGGGAGCCTTAGGGCTGGGGGGGGGTCGTGGCGTAGTTAGGCTCGGCAGGGCTTCTTCTCCGGAGGGTGTGCGCGAGCGTACTCGGTGGGTATAGCCCCAAGCCCCTAGGCGATCCTGGAGGGGTCGGTCAGGGGGTCTTCTTCGTTCGGGAATCATTGGACCTGAGACTTAACATACCCATATATTAGAATCTTGTCAGCTAGTAATGTTAGGGAACGCTCGTCCCTCCGTCTGGATAGACAGCTCCGTGCACCCATGTTTTTAATCCATAAGCCATTGGGTTGATTTGTTTTAAACGTCCGGATGGACTGCTCTGCGCGCGGCTCCCCGCCCGGACCGTTGCTCCAGGTTGCACCGGCTACTCAGTTGGCCTGGTTACATTTTAATCCATGGACGCAATGTAAGACAAATATGTGCATGTACACGTATGTACAGAGGCCTCATCAGAAGTTCAGAACGTGAATACGTGATATGCATGTATACAAGAAGAGGACATAATCGATATGCATAGAGAGCTGTGCTGAATAACCAGCTAGAGCAACGTATGGCCACCGTCTATACTTGCATGCATGTGCACTAAAATGCCTTTGGTCCAAAAATAATTATAGACCACAAATATACGTGAGTCTGATCATATTGGGTCAACTTAGCATGTTCCACGTAAATAGCAACCATTTTCGTATGGGCCTATAAAATATTTGTATAGCCGACTTATTAATAATTTATTTTGCCTGATTAACCATAGTCAACACTATACCAAAATTTCATCATGTACTGTCTTTAACGGTAATGCTACGAAGCGGGCGTCCGTCCGTCCGGACGGACCACTCCACGCGCCCCACCCACGCCTCGTGCCCCGTGCCCCGCCTGCCCGCGCCATTGCTTGCTCCGGCCCGTGCCTTGCATGCTGCAGCCTTCTCGATCGCAGGGCCACGTCCACCGCGCCAATTCGTCGCGCCGCCCGCCCATATTGCACTCAAAGCATATGTTGTAAACATATGTGTCAAGTATTTTAGTTGTTCTAAATGTATGTTGCAAGTGTTCCATATGGATGTTGCAAAAAAATAGATCTGGATATTGTATATGTTGCAATGGCTATACACGTATGTTGCAAGTGTCTATTCAAAATGTTTCATCTACTTCAGACGTATGCTACAAGTGTTTTATCTGAATGTTGCATATGTTGCAGTGGCTAGTACATATGTTGCGGTGGCTATACACATATGTTGCAAGCATATGTTCTAAATGTTTCATATGCTTCAAACTTATGTTGTAGGAAATATTTTCATGTTGCAAGTGTTTCATGAGTAGGCGAAGGCGGTCCCCATAGGCGAAGGCGGTCCCTGTGTGCGTGATACGGATGTTGCAAAAGTAGATCTAGATGTCGCATATGTTGCAATGGGTACACACGTATGTTGCAAGTATCTATTCAGAATGTTTCATCTACTTCAGACATATGTTGTAAGTGCTTTTATTTAGATGTTACAAATGTTCTAGTGGCTATACACATGTTGCAAGCGTATGTTCCAAATATTTCATTTGCTTAAACATATGTTACAAAAAGTGCTTTCATGTTGCAAGTGTTTCATGAGCAGGTACTGGCGCAGGCGAAGACGGTCCTGTGTGTACATGTATTTCATTTCCATACAAGTCCTATAGTTGGATGTTGCAATGTTAGTTGGGCAACAAAATAAAATGTAATCTACGTAACGTCTAACAAGAGAGGTCGATGACGCCATCCTCTTGTGGAGGTAGAGAAAGTGAAACATGCGATCGTATGAGTGTTCAGGACGCGAAATTTAAAAAGAATAATTAATGGGGCACATAGGAAGATAATTTTTGTGGATACGAATAATTAACAGAACAAGTACGAAACAAACTTTTGCGGATAGATGGATCGTCCGATGGATCCGATTCGTCCGGACGTTGGGGTGGTAGTGGTGCCGTTGTCAAACACTCACATGCGAAAACGGCTTTTGAAGCTAAAACTAATTAAAAAGTAGTGAAGCCGAAGCCACAAAAATATGGCCTTTTCTGGCTTCACCGCGTGGTGTAGATGGAATTTTTTGGAATGTCACAGTGGGACGGTCGGAAATCCGATTATAATCGGTTCCGAATAGGGCCATACTCCTGTGCGTGAGAATGAGAGAGAGATGACATGGTGTATCTCCTGCTCCGTAATTACTAGCATCGATCGGACTCCAACTTCCAGTCATCAACTCACATGTGCATAGGCAGCCTATATACATGTATGTATAACACAACTATATATACATGAAGCCTTGAACTACAGTGTACCATGCGGGAAGTAGAATGCTATGATGTGAGCCATCCCATTTCCAAACATACGTATGGAGGACGAAGCTGAGGCTACGTACACGTATGTACGACATCACGCAACAAAAAAGCACACGCGCAAATCGCATTTTCACGATCGAGCTGAGAATGACAACATTTGCTTCTTCTCGATCGACCCCCCGTCGTTCCGCTGCGCTCGATCACACCACCTCGAACTCCCTCCCGCGCGGGCGGCCGGCGGCGTCGCCGTAGTGCGTGTGCATGGTGGCCCCGAGCTCCTTCGTGACGGCGTCCGCTTCGTCCTCCGCCTTCTTGCTCTCCCTGCCGGGCCCGCCGAAGATGGAGTGCCGCGGCTGCTGCAGGTGCGTAGTCGAGACCCGGTCGACCGCCCCGCCGTGGCTGCCGCCGTAGATATCGCCGAAGTCGGAGGACGCGACGCTGGTGCGCTTGGCGGAGTAGTTGAGGTCGAAGCTGGCCTTGGCCATGTCGAAGCTGAGGCTGGCCCTGGTGTAGAAGCTGATCCGCGACTCGGACGACAGCGGGCCGAGGTAGTAGAGCGCGGCGGCGTCCGGGTCGGCGGGGGACACCTTGGCCCGGAAGTCGTTCCTGGACGGCGGGATCGGCGAGAAGAAGATCTCGGCGATGTTGCTGCCGGCGCCGCGGTTGAAGGGGTTGGCCTTGCGCTCGTACCGGTACCGGAAGTTCTCGTACGTGGTCTGGTTGGTGCACACGAGGTAGGAATGGAACGCCGTGAGCCCGCCGACGAACCATGCCGTGACGAAGGTGTAGACGATGAGGCAGCCGGACACCGGGGACTCGGCGACGGCGTGGCCGAAGCTGACGCCGTACTGCCGGGAGATGAGCAGCAGGTTGACCCAGCAGAAGGCGAACACGTAGAGGCACAGGAAGGTGGTGGAGGAGATGAACATGAAGAAGAAGCGGTAGTTCCGGCGGCCGATGCACTGGCCCACCCAAGGGCAGTGGTGGTCGAAGCGCTCCACGCAGTTGTTGCAGACGGAGCAGTGCGAGCAGCGCGGGGGCCGGTACAGCATGCACGTGTGGCAGTACTTCACCTTCACCACCACGCCGTTCACGTACACGTCGCGCGTCGGCGGCAGCGACCACGACGCGCCCGTCGCGGGGGACGCGAACGAGGAGCTGTCCGTCGCCGCGTCGTCGGGCTCCGGCGGACGCGCGTTCCGGGGGATGATGCCGGGGTCCCGACCCGACGTGAGCACCAGCACCACAACGTCCTGCACGCACGCACGCACCATCGCAATGATATCATGATCGATGCCGCCGGCCGCGTGCTACAACTAGATAGAGTTGGTCCGTGATTGATTGTATGTATGTGTGCCACGGACTCACGAATACGCCGACCGCCATGGCCGTCGCCGGGACGGCGGTGCCGAGCGGCTTCCCGATGAGCTCGGCGAGGCGGAACGAGACGAAGGCGACGAAAAGCGCGAGCGGCGTCATGATGAGCGCCACCGTGAGCACGATGGAGCTCGCGTCCGGGCCGAAGATGAGCCGACCGCCGCACAGGAATCTCTGCCAACGACATCAGCACCAAAGACCAAACCATGCATCTCGATCAGACAACGACATCAGGATCGGCCACGCGAGAGTCCTCGATCGATCGCCATTGTTAATTACTACGTAGCAACGATCGATCGCGGCAGCTTGTAATGAATTAATTAATCAATTAGCCATCAATTAACGAACGCACGCACGTACATTCTTCCCTCTCCAGACTTGGTAGACGCGGTGGGTGGCGACGGCGGCCGACGAGACGCTGGAGGTGTCGGAGAGGTAGCTGCGGGGGAGAGGGCTCTTGAACAGCGGCCTCCCCTTCATCGTCTCCGCCGGTGGGCCGCCGCCGGTCCGGTGAACGCGCGCCGCCGCGTCGTCGTCACCTTCACCTCACCCGCGCATGGGCCGGCCCTGCAGAGCGGCAGCGGCCGGAATGGAGGTGGTGGGGGAGGAGGGACGGGAAGCTCGTCTCCTCGTTTTCCCGTTTCGGACATCATTGTGCTATCCATAGGAGGGAGAAGCTATAGCGCGTCCTGGTTGTTATTGGGGTGCAAAGATCGAATAGATCGGCGGAGGGGAACCGCCATGCCTAAACATAGCACGCGCATCACACAGCTCCCGAATGACGCTGGGCATCATCTACAAGAGAACACAGGGGCAGCAGGAAGGAGGCATCAAACAACACAATACAGAACCCAAGGTCATTCCCCTTCCTCTGAACTCCTTCCTTCCTCTACTCTCTACTGTTCTTCTTCTCCAATCCTACTGATCCCTGATTCTCTACCCTTTCTCTGCCACAGCTATACGGTTGCTAACAGTGGGTTCCTGTGGCTTATGTGTTTCCTGTTGATCACCCTCTAGTCGAATAGAGGATTTTGTGATCACGTGGAGAAATACTCCGGTATATAGGCACGGGTTCCCGAGTAGATCCTAACCTGGCCAAGGTGTTGGCTATGTCTTTGGCCTGTCAAGGAACGTGGCGTGTAGCTCCTTGCCGTCGAACCTGTGTTCAAGCTTATGCACTTCTCCTCAATATGCCTCTATTTTCGGATCCTTAAACGTTGAGTCCTTCTTCGTCACTTGGTTGATGACTAGCTCAGTCTCCGTGGACTGTAGTCTATGGATACCCAAGGATGCGGCTGCACCAAGACCGTGCAGGAGGGCCTCGAATTCGGCGACGTTGGCAGTTGCTCCTTTGAATTGGAGTTGTTGCTATTACACGTGCATCAGCGTGCTGTGCTTTTGTAGGACACTGTCATGATTAAATTGCTCCATTACAACAACCTTTTGAGCCAGGCGACCTCTTTAGTAGGGATGAAAACGGATCGGACGGATATCATTGATATTACATTTGTTTTCATATTTCTGTTCGGATTCGGATTCGAATACGGATAGTGTCAACCATATCGGATATGATACGATTGGATATCGACATCATAAATATGCAATTTTGAGTATTTGGATACGGATACGGTATCGGATGTTGAATATCTAAACTCGGATACGAACATATCTGAACCCCCTCTAAACGGATTCGGTTTCGAATACGATCAAAAAATATTCATACCGTTTTCACCTCTACTCTTTAGAATGCCTGGACCCAAACATCATTGCCTGGACTTGGTAGGATCTCAGGGCTCCAACGAATCTCAGGGCTCCAACCAAATAGGTTCAAGGCAACCCCTCCATGAACCTTGTCGTGTTCCTCGTCGCCCAGGCAGTTTGGCTCTAGGGTTGGAACCAAACAGACCCACGGTGTGCTGTGCATGCAATCCTCCTCCCCATCTTCGTCTCCACCTCATCACCGATTCACCGGCATCCCTTCTAAGCGGGAGATAGATTTGTCGAGGTGTGGAGATTTGCCGACATGGCATAGGTCAACCCCTCACATCCCTTCCGCGTTTCACTCGCAGTGCATAGTCTCCCTGGAGCAATTAGCGGGAGGTATTTGAAAAAATATTTTTCAAATATTTGGCAAGTCTATAGTGCTCTCCAAACAATGGCTAATACATGTATCGTCCTTAGAACAAATATAGCCGGTATATAAAGATGGCAACGGGTAAAATCCGCGCGGATACGAGGTTCAGGTATCCATATCCGCGAGCTAAAATCCACGCCTGCGCCCGCACCCGCTATCCGCCACGGGCAGAAAATCTCGCCCGCGCCCGCTATCCGCGGATAGAGCATGCCCATGTACCCGCATAACATTTATACAACAGACAGGCAACACATAAATACAAGTATAGAACTCTCAATTCTAGTTTTTTACCACGTTAAAGAACCATCAGGCAAGAGAGAAAAACCATTAGATAAAGTTCTAAGCAAGCAAATATATACATGGTATTGGGTTGGGGCCACATGTTAGGTATTGGAGCGGGTCTAGTGGGTTTGCGGGTGCGGATATCATTTTTTCACACCCGTGAGCAAATATCCATTGGGTTTAGGGTCATGTCCGCGCCCGTGGCCGCGGGCACATACTTAGACCCATATCCGTGCCCATCGGGTTTCATATCCACGCGGGTTTGCGGGTATTTTCTACCCGTTGCCAACTTTACCGGGGATACCCGGTAAGTTGGGCATCGTCGCTTTTTGGTGCTTTATTATGTTTTCATGTTCATATGCTTATTCACCTAAAAATAGGGGGCATATGTTGACATGCAAGAGTGTGTCCCGAAGTGCGGTTTGGGCTGCACCATCATGTTCATAACATAAAGGAGGTGCTACAAAATATTTAACGCAACACAATTGGAAGCACAAAGCAAAATGAAGAAGAAGACGGCGGCACTGCACTGCTAAAGGCGGCTAGGCCGGCCTCCCAAGCCGACCAGGCTGGGTTGCTTGTGCCCGCCCGACCACAGTGCCCAAGCCCGTTAATCCCGGCCTGATCGGGTTTGAACCCGGATAGGTCGACTTTTCCTGATTTCAAACCGATTCATTTCCAAATCGGTTTTTAACGTGGGAAACTTAGCAAACGTGTTTTGGAGTTGTTTCCTACTAGGATAAGACCACCCCCTCTCTATATGTGAGAAGATCACGGGTAATTGTGGACCCCAATTCACAATCGATCAAAAAACACATCTACTACCCCTTTTTACCCTCTCCTCTCTCTACCTTGCTGTTCATGTGTGATATTTGGTGGCGTTCTAGGTGGCTTTGCTGGTCCTAGGACATCCGGTTTCTAGATCGGTTTCATTGATTCATCGCTTTCCTTGATGCATTCATGATCATGTGTCGACTCACGGGCATGCTAGACCTTGCTGGTGTGTGATCCGGATCTTATTCGGCATCACCACACTTTTTTGGCAACTCTGCTGGGGAAGAAGCAGAGCAAGATTCAATCTACGTACTAGTAAGATGGGGAGCAAAGGTGATCATGACAAGACCAATCCTCTCAATCAAGGCAACATCAACCACCCCACCTCTGCTGACCGCCATGTAGACGGTGGTTGGAGAAGAGCCCAGGGGGCCACCGACCGCCTTCGCCTTGCCGGAGCCGTCATACTCCCAAGCCGCCACCGCGTCAGAGATGTTTCGCGATCCTAGTTGCCTTGCGGAGCGAGGAGGTGCCAATGATGCTTGCCGTGACCTCGCGCACCCCGCCGACAAGCCGGTTAGAGGAAAAGCCCCGCCTTGCCCTAGTCCTCCATAGCTGCAAGCTCACCGGAGTTCCGCTATGTGCCTTGTCGTGGTGCAGACTCCGCCGTGTTGTATGGTCGCCGCCGTCGAGTTGACCGGCCTCCCCGTGATCTCAATCGGGGAAAAGGGCCACCTTTGGCCCCTATTGCAGTCGTAGCCGCCTCGCCGCCGTCCGCCACCGTTGACGTGCCACTACCATCGTGGCCTGCCTTGGTCGAGCCTCGACCGCCATGTTGGAGCCTCTGACATGTTCGTCATGGCCCGAGGAAGCCAGCGAAGCTCGCTGGAGCCTTCCCGACACACCGTAGGACCCCGCCATGGTAACCAGGGGCGCTAGAGCCACCAAGGCGCCGCCTTCGGCCCACCAGTGAGCTCACCATGAGCTCACGAAGCCATAGAGCCTCCTAGCGACCCTGCCAAGCCATCCTAGAGCAAGAACGGCCAAGCTTGCCATCGTCGAGAGTGCCACCATGAGGGAGAGAGGAAGCCGCCATGCCTCGCCTAATCCCGCATGCACCTAGTGCAAGTAGACCAAGGCGAGAGGGAGAGGGAATAGATGTGGTTCACCTCGGACCACGCCTGCGGTCCATGGACCCGCATGACGCTGTCCACCTTGTGCCAAGCCCCATGGACCGAGCCTAGTAGCGGCCCTGCGCATGCCACGTGGCCAGCCTGGCCAATCGCCATGTGTCCGGCCCGACCCAGACCGGCCAACCCGGCCCATTATCCGACCCGCCAGCCAGCCTGAGCCTGATCAACCATTGACCATTGACCTAGACCCACCTGTCAGTGACTGTATTTCCCACGCCCAATCACGTGCTGCCATGTGTCAAGCCCTGGATTTTCCTACTCTTTTTCTTTTTTAGAAAATGATTTAAGCTTAGAAAATTCATACGACCTCAGAAAAATATGAAACCGGTGTCCAAATTTTTCTAAAAATGAGCTCTACATCATAGGCTAGTGTTTGAGTGCATTTGGATCATTTGAATTTCTGTTGCTTCTTTGTGATCATCTATAGGAGTCGCTTATCGTGGCTATATGTCTCGTTTGACAGACCCGGAGGAGCCGCAGACTGAGGAGCATGACCCCGACTACACTGAGAAGCTTGGAGACGACTTGCCAGGTGCCACATCCCACCCAACCTTATAGAATCCTATTAGACATGCTACAATGTAGATGCTAGTGCTTTACTTTTATGCACAGGATCTGTGATAGGTTGCATGGTAGAATTGCTTGTGAGCCATTACCTTGTCGCAACCTATACCCCCGCACACCCACTGTTAGGTTAGACGCTCGCTTACTTACCTGCTACTACTTCTACTATGCATTATATCTATGATGTGATGCTTGGTCGTGGATTGTGTGTGAGTGGTTAAGGCACTTGGTGCCGGTAATGTGGTAACAACCAGGGAGATCTTCGCATGCGTTGTGGGTGTGTGGTGAGGGTTGAGTCGATCGGGTAGGATCTTACGACGAGTCGTTGGAAGAGTCTTGCCAAGGGGGTGCGACCTGGGCATCCCCTACGAGAGGTAACTGTGGCGGGTGCATGTGAGATGAGGAGCTCCCAGGGTGGAGTGTCTTTGTGGGATGAAGCCCTAGGATGGAGGTGCCGCAGAGGCATGGGGTGTTGGTTAACCCCTTTTAAGAATATATCTTGTCCGGTTCTCCTAAGGACTGGTATGTCAAGA